CATCCCCAACTCCATGGCCTCTGTGTTCTGTTACCCTGCTTTATTCTTCTTTATGACTCATATGTACTAATACGTCAAGTTCTATTGTCTGGTGAACTTGTTTATTTGATCGCATTTGTAGAATGAGGGCTCTATAATGATAGGGCTATTATGTTATGGCCTTAGCTCTAGAATTACTCTTAGCAGGGCAAAATTGCCATGAACCAGGGGTGGAAAGGTACAGATTTTAAATCTACTAGCTATCTAACTTTGGGTAAGTAGTTACTGTCTGTTTTTACTTTCCCATATGTAAAAGAGAATTTAGTAACACCTACAAAATTTCTGTCTATGGTAGGATAAAGTTTTAATAGGAAAATAGGCTTTGAAAATTGTCTAGTGAAACTAGTAGTCAGAGAGAAGGAATTGCTTGAACAAACACTTATGGAATGTTATAGGCTAGGGCCCTCCCTGGTGGTACAACAGGGTAAAGCACAGCACTATGAAGCTGTTGGCAGCCTATGCAGCATGAGTTCGATCCCCGGCAAGGGAGCTGATCCCTGCAGCAGACCTCTCCTGTCTTGCCCACTGCTCCCCTCAGCTGGGAACTTCATGAATTTGCTCCCCACTCTGTCTCTGGTGAATCCTCTCACTGCCCCTGCATCTCTGGCCTATACCCCAGTTCTCGTATGCATAAATAAATATTTTTTAAATGAATGCTATAGGCTAAATTATGCACCCCCTCAAAGTGTATGTTGAAGTCCTAATCCACAGTACCTCAGAGTATGACTATTTAGAGATAAGAGCTTGAAATCAAATTAATTCTAAGTGTTCTTCTAAGAGTAAATTTGAAGACAAATGTGTACAAAAGAAAAACCAGATGAAGACAGTCATCTATGTGCCAAGGAGAGAGGCCTCAGGAGAAGTCAACCCTCTGACACCTTAACTCTAATTTCCAGCCTTTAAAATAGTGAGAAAAGAAATTTCAGCTTCTTAAGCCACCCAGTCTGTGGCACATTGTATGGTTGACCTAGAACACTAATAAATACACTGAGCTTGCTATCTATGACGGGGTTAAGTCCTGCACCCAGGTCTAGAGTGGGGTCTATGGAGACATCCATGGATTCAAGTTATTCAGGGGATGAGTCTAAATTTTGGCCTAGGAAACAGAGATTGGGTACTCCATGCAAGTCCAAAGCATGAATTAAATCTATAAAAAAAGAAAAGGAGTTAAGTTAGAAAAAGTTATGAATGAAGAGAATCAGTGTGGACATAGTTCGTGTGGGAACTCTTACTGATGCAAATAATGTGAAGGAACCAGCTACAGGACTGCCTGTGTTATTGGAACAGGATATTGGCCATCCACATGTGGTCCAGGTAAACAGTCCTATTAGTCCTTTTCATCACTAGCTGCTGCATTTTATTTTGCTATTTTGCACTGTATTATTTCCTCCTTGCTTAGCAAACAATAATAAATATTCAATGAATGAATAAATGAGTGAACAAATTGACTAAGATAAAGTATATTATTGCCAATGTAATTACGGCATTAGGAAGAACAAGATGCTGTAAGAATATCTACATAGAAAAGTAAATTATATGGGGCAATTAAAAAATGTTCTCAGGAAAAAAAAAAAAAGATATACATCCCAAATGAGATCAGTGTGGTGAATAGGATTTAAAGACCAAAGAGATAGGGAGAAATCACTATCTTAGAAATAATAAGTAAATGTGGCTGAAGCTTAAATGGAGTAAAGTGAAATTGAGGAATTAAGAAGGAAATTGGCCAAGCAAAGCTCTCCAGACCTTGTGTCTTAGTTTCCTATGACAGCTGTAACAAATTACACAGTTAGTGACTAGAAGCAAGACAAATTTATTATCTTACATTTCCATAGGTCAGATGTCTGAAGTGGATCTCACTCGGGAAATTGAGGCGCCAGCAAGGCTGTGCTCCTCTCTGGAGGTTCTCGGGGAGCATCCATTTCCTTCCCTCTTCCAGCTTCTAGAGGCGGCCTGCATTCCTTGGCTCATAGCCTCCTTCCTTCCGCAGAGCCAGCAACAGTGGGTGGACTCATTATTAATGTTTTAATGGTCTCAATTTCTCCTGCCTCTTGTAGACTCACATAGCTCTGATCCATTCTTTTTTATTTTCTTAAGAGTTCATGTGATTGGAATGTGCCCACCAGTTAAAGCAAGATAATCTCTTAGTCATATCTGTGTCCCTATTACTATGTAAACTAACATAATCACAGGATTGGAGCATTAGAACATGGCCATTTCAGTGGGGGTGGGAGGGGTGGTGGTCTTTATTCTGCCTACTGCACCATGTTAGAAAAATTGGACTTTATCTTAAGAGCAATAGGAATTTACTGAAAGGCTTTTAGTTGGGAAATGCTATGATCAAATATGCACTTTCAAAGATGCCTCTGGATGATTCATTTAAAACTGGATTAGAAAGAAATTATTGTCATCTAGGAAAAATACAATGATAGCATAGACCACAGAAATGTCTGGAAAAGATGAAGCATAGGTGGATTTGAATGTCATTTGAAGACTGTGAACAACAGGTTTTAGTGGTTGATTAAAATATGGGAGATTCAGGAAAAGACAAGTACCATCTAGGCCTCTGGCTAAGTTGACTGCATAAATAGAGGTATCATTTACAAGAGGAACAGCTTTGAGAAGGAAAAAAAGGAAATACATTGAGTTCAATGCACAGTGAAACATCAAGAACAATTGCCCAATCAGGAGTTATATCTAACAGGTGACCATTTAGGAGAAATGACTGGACTGCAAATAGACCTCAGTCATTACCCTAAAGACGAAGCCCTAGAGTAAGTGTAGAACCGAAAGGGAGTTCCAAAGACAAGATCTTGGGGGAAAAAACAGGATTTCAGGGGCTATCAAAAAAGGAGGAGTCACAGGAGTGCAGAGGAAAAGATGAAACGAAAGCCATTTAGAGACCTTCAGTCTAAGTGAGGAGTGTGGCCAAATGCCTTAACTGCTATGAGCACACTAAGAAAAGATCTGAAAGGAGTCACATGAGCCACATAGTGGTCATCAGTGGCTGTGACAAAGTAGTGTCCTTGGGGTGGGAAGATTGGGCAGTGATTGTAAGCCAAGAGACTAGGGTGGGAAACTACTTTTCCAGAGAGCAAACTTGGCTAAGAAGATGAGACAAGAATTCAGAGGGGCGTGTAGGGCATAAGGAATAGGGTTTGGTTTTGAATGGGAAAAAGCATAAACATGTTCACTACAATCCCTCTAACATGCATCTGTGTGTGTGTGTGTGGATTGGGGTACAGAGGATAGGTTGGGACACGTCACCATAGGATATACCCCACTAGGGAAATGTCCATTTTAAACTTCCTGGATAGATCTGGGCACTTTTACTTTTTCTTCTGCTATTCCTGCTGTCCCCCTGCCTCTTCAATCCACTTTGGAATAGCTCCACATTGAAAGAGAATTTCTTCCTTCTCTTGGAAACAGCCCTGTTTCTTGCCTCTTCCTGGCCACTGATTGGTTTCTCTTTAGGGAAAGATTTCTTCCTCTTGGGAAACCTCCACAGGCAACTGTGTCTGCAGCCTCACTACTAACTAGCTCTCTCTTGGAGAACATTTTTTCTTTTGGGGTCTGGAGGAGGCAGGTAGTTCTTCCACTCCAATCACCTGAGGAATTCCCTGGGGGGGTTTAGTTTTTGGGTCTTTCACGTGCTCCTGTGACTGCTCTTGGAATACTGCTGCTGCTTTTTGGAGATACAAGAACAAGGTCTCTCTAGAAGTCTCTCTAGTCTCATACAAAGAGAGTTGCTCATAAATTTGTTCTCAAAGCTTCTCCCCAATTACAGGGTGGGTTCCTTAGGGAAACATTCGATGCATTTGCTTGCCAGGTATTGGGGAGTATGACCTTTGTTCTTGGCAGCTGCTGAACCAATGAAGGTAGAGTGGGGAGTCCATATTCTGGGGTCTTATCTGCAGGACTCCAGAAATTTGGTTCCCTTGCTTGACTTGCAGGCATCACTCAAAATGTGACTTTGAAGGGAAGAAAGGAGATGGGAAGGTGACTGAAAGAAGAGTGGAGTGTTTTACTTGTTCATTCATATGTTTGTGTTTAAATATCATTAACTCGAACCTATTTCACAAATGGGAAGAAGCTAGTAAGATGAAGAGTTTAATGTAGAGGAAACATTCAACTGATCAATATCTCAAGAAGAACTAGGATTTAAAGTCTGGGGGAGTCATAGATCTTTTCTAGCCAGCTCTCTGGAGTAAGAAGCTGCACCGTTGCCAGTTCACAGAAGTGTGATGGGAAGTTATAGAATTCTTATTTGGTGACTTATGAGTTTTACTTTTTTTCTGAAACTGAATGACATTATATTCCAAATTCGTGTTGCAACTGGAAGACATCCAGATGGCAAAAAAGGAAAAATGCAAAGCCAGAAAGTTACTGCAGAGTATTGGGTCTGGGGGTGGAAGGCGAGGCTATTGGTGCTAACACTGATCATGTCAAATCTCAGAAAGTTGAGGACTATAGCTGAAGGGACGTGGAGAGGCTTCCACTCAAGGACATCCAGACTGCAGTGGGGGATGGGGTGGGGGGAGGAACTTCAGTGATGGGATACTTGCTGCAAGAAGGGCTTGATGAAGGCTTAATTAAATTTGCAAGAGAACTGGGCCATACAAGACTTTGCCATGCTGGGACGGTGAGGGAGGTCACAGTATGAAACAACATTTATAGCTTTAATGATTTCATTAACTACTGAGAAACATACAAATAATCAATGTAAAACACCGAGCTGGAAAATGAACAAGTATTCCTCATCACCATTATTCTTGTTGTTAGATTGAAAATTAGATTACAAACACAGTACAACAATTAAAAGGATGAGCTGAAAACTCCAAAAGCTTGTGTTAAGTAAGAGATCTAGTAAAGATACATCCATGATTGGAAGGAGGAAAAGAAGTCAGCAAAGTAAACTGGTTTGTGAAAATGTCTTAGCACCATAATGGTCGTTGTAAGTTGACATGTTCCGTTATGTTAGTTATGCCGTAGAGACAGAAGGAAAGAATGGCCCTCCGTTGCCCATACACTGCAGAATGAGCCCCTGGAGTGAATGGTCAGAATGTCACCCTTGCCTCAAACTAATGGTAAGCACTCGTTGTCAATGATGTCCCCAAGTGGAAACTGTATTGCCAGCATCTGTAGGAAAATGACTATCAGGCAGAAAGCCCCACCAGTGAGCTCCACATGGAGAACGATGGCTGAGTGCCTACGTGAATGGGGCTAAGCAGCTGGGAAACCTGGAGGCTGCATCGCATATTAAATGCCAGGCAAGGGCACTATTCTGTACCCCATACTGCAAACCTGTTCCAACATGAGGAGTTACTGGAGGTGCCATTCTTCACTGCTTTTACTTTCAATCCCTTGACTTACCCGGGGGATGTGTAGAGGATGTGTCTACAATGTGGACATAGGTCATCACCCTTTTTGGCACTGAAAATTCTAATGACTCCAGCTGGTTTTGTGCAGTTTCGCTCTAGGAGCATTGAGGTCTTTGGACAATTTAATGGGCGAAAATGCATGGATGCTCTGGGAGACAGACAGATGTGTGTGCCCACTGAGCCCTGTGAAGATGCTGAGGATGACTGTGGAGCTGAATTTAAATGTGGTACAGGTAATCTTTGCACTCCCACTGTTTCAATGTACACTTGTGAGTGAACAGCAAGGAACCTGATTCAAGGCAGTGATAAATCTACAAGTTAGAAAGGGATATTAATCTACTTGTACAAAGACATCAACTAAATATCTGCTCTGAGTCCTCCAGCATTCAAGTACATTTGATAACTTCAGAAAGAAAATGAAATTTTTGGTGTTAGACATGTTTTTCCTGGTTCTGATTGCAGGCAGATGCATAAAGAGGAAACTTCTGTGTAATGGTGACAATGACTGTGGAGACAATTCAGATGAGGATGATTGTGAAAATGATCCCCGTCCCCCCTGTCGTAATAAAGTGGTGGAAGAGTCTGAGCTGGCACGGACAGTGGGCTTTGGGTCTGTATTCCTTTTGACTGTCTCTAGATGAAAATGGGTATAGTTTTTCCACCTTCCTGTCATGCCAAAATGGTAAAATGGTTTAAGTTGGTAAAAAAGACTAGCTATGAATCTGCATTCTGTGTGGATTAAATTTGAGCTTGAAAAAAGATTAATTGATGAATAATTATCTCAAGAAAACTGGAAGATTTCCTGGCCATAGTAGAAACCTCTAGAATGTACTAGACTATCAGGATGTTAGATAATTACTTCTGGATCAAGTAGAAAATTTAACACCTCATTTATGAAGCTCTGATGACCACAAAATGTTGAAATGATCTGTTAATATTTGAAACTGAATTGCCAGTAGTGTGTCTGAGAGTTGCCAGAAAGTCTCTCTTAAAATTAGAACTTCTGGATCTGTACCTGGATATGAGCCATTGGGAGATTCCAGGTTCCAGTATTCCGGAGTTGACCCAAGAGGCATAGGATAGATGAAACAGTTCTGAGGCCAGATGGTGAAGGTGTTGAGACTCAGGCTCTGGTATTGACATTTTCCTCCTATTTCCATACAAAAACATAGGGCCCTAGTCAGGCAAAATAAGATGAGCAGTGTCGGGCAGAACAGAACTCAGAGTTAGATGGTGTAAAGACCATTTGCAGAGATCTGTGTTCTGGGAGTTGGGAATGACATGCCAACAGATTCAGTTCTGTTGTGCTGTCTAGTCAGAGAGCATCCAGGATGTTCACACTATCGTCTCCATTAGTTGTTCTGACCTATTTTCAGTAAAGGTGAATTTGTTGTCAAATTGTCCAGAACAAGCACACCACTGTTTTCCACCCAGTGGTATATAAACAGAGATGCATGTGACTCTATTTCATGGCCTCTAATGTAGAGTGTCTCTTTATTTTGATAATCCCAGAACCTCATTCATAATAGGTGCTCAATAAATAAAATAAGTGTTTTCTAAAATACTGTCAGTTGACACCAGGTTTACTGAAACTAGGTCTCTGGAAGAAATTCAGATTTAGGATTCTAGTCTTAGGAATGGGGCTGGGGAAGGAAAAAAGATGGGGGTGATGGCGAGAGCAAGACAGTTTAGAGGACTAAGGTAGTGGTTCTCAACCAGAGAGCATGTCTAGAGCTGGTCTTGGTGGTCACTTCAGTGAGACTTGGGGGTGGGAGGTTTCACCTGCTGATGTGAAATGATGCTCAACAGCTCACAGAACAGCTGAGCCCAAAACGTCAGTCAACCTTACTGAGGCTAAGAAACACTACACCAAGGTTTTGGGCAGTTCCTGAGAAAAGATCTCAGTATCAAAGTTTGCTAAAAATAGAACTTCCCTCTCTTTGAGCATGAAACTTCCACTTCTTTAAATCACAATAGAAAAAAATTCCAACATACCAAGAGTCAGGCACTAAACAAAGCATTTTACATACCCTTTATTCACCTCATAAAATCTTACCCAAGTAGCATTCCAGTACTACCACAATCTCTTGGTCCTTAGCCTGCAGGTAGGACCCTTGAGTCAAATGGATGGTCTGGGAAACCACACTCAGTGGGCGATCAGCAATGGGCAGTAAATGGTCTGGGAACTGTCCAAAACCTTATAACCTGGTCACTGTGTGAGTTCTGACTCCTCTTGCAGCTTTCCCAGGGGAGCGACAAGGCCATGATGAAAGCCCATTACTACTTTATTCTGCTTTATTTGGATTCCAAGAAAGTTTCTATAATCTAACCAACAACAAAAATAAACTTAAGGCAGGGAATTGTGTATGTCCTCACTCAATGCAAATCTTGGGCCACTTAGCTGAAAAACAATTATTCATAATCTGCTGCTTTTCTTTGTTCAGGGGGAAAAATTTGTTCTATAGCATCTGCCAGGGTGTTGCATAATGAGGCATCCCAGAGAGTTGGATGCACTCCTTAAATACCTCATGCTTTATGGTGGTCGGGGTTGATGCCGGGGCATGTTGTGGGCTGAGTCTTCTGGACTAAAAGAAAGGGTGGGGTCCCAGCCTGGGAAAAGGTCAGATGAAGAGTTGGAAAATGAGGTGAGTTTTGATAGAATTAGTCCATCAACAATTTTTATTAAATTCTTTATTCTCATGTGTAACAACCTATCACTAAATTAGTTTTCATTAAGCCTATTGTTCTCTGATTATTTCCATTGCACACTGAGAAGTTTTCTGCACATTCCTTCTTGATACATTTTTATAGCAATCATGTAAGATTATTAGAGGAGATATTATTTTCATTGTGAAATAAGATCATTTAATCATTCATTTCAAGCCAAACAAAACACAAGTTTCTCTGACATATATAAAACCATCTTTTTCCACTGTGCCACCTTACCTTCTCCTCCCACATGCCGTCAACACCCACTCCCTTCCCCCTTATTACTATAAGTCCATAAATCAATATCTTAACTTGGAAGCAAAGCTCACCTTAGAAAATGAAATTCCTTAATGATAACTTCTATTCCCCAATGCAATTCATGTCACATTTATCTACTATCATCTTTGCTCTATAGGGACATGGAACTGTATTGAAAGCGGGTAATAGGAGGAAACTCCTAATCAAAGTGATGTGCTTATAAACTGCTTCTATACAATCCAATCTGGGAAACCTTAGTGACCACATACAGACTCTTTTGTGCATGAAAATCACAAATACTCATGGCAATTAATTTAGACTTGTTTCCATTTTAAGTACTAGCCCATTGAAATGCTTAGGCCAGGATTATTCAGTTGTATCACAAATGTGTCAGCTTGTCATTCCACGGATATCTGAGATTCTCCAGAAGTCTTGAAGGAAATCCCCAGCCCATGTTGCATTCATTGGGAAAAAATAAATCCAAGCCAGATGTAAATAAGGGACAATATGCAAGGAATTACTTTGTGTGTGTGTGTGATCTGTGCATAGCACCACTTCTGTGGAAGGAGCTTTCTCTTCAGTTCACCTAGAAAATTGGAGCTGCCGGTGGTTCTAGATGCAGGTGTAGAAGCAGGTATCCCTACACCCTGCTGAGGGACACATGTTTTTTATTTCCCAGGCGATGACATTCCATCCATGAGAAATTTTCGTGTTTCTTGGCAGAACAAAATTGGCTCATTCTAGAGTAGACTAGCTGTCTCTGTAGTAGTGGAACCAAGTCAAAATTTTGAAACATTTCTTCCTTAGCTGTGCTTCAAACTGTGCATAGCTTGCATTGTAGCTTTCCAGATGGACCCAGCCAACTAGTTAATATGTTATTGTATAAAATAGTAACCTTCAACTGAGGCATGCATTCAATGAGGTGTAAAAAGACTTTCAAAAGGGCGAGAGATGAGTTTTAAGGTAATGGTTTCCACAACTTGACTTATTACTTGACTGTTCTAATTAATTGTAAAACCTGAATGCCATATGTACATATTTTTTCAAAAAACTGATAACTTCTAACCATTCGGTGGTAACTGCTGGCCATTCAGTGGTATTGAAGTTGTCAAGTTCGTTCTTTCTTACCTGCCCTTTACAATCATCTCTCACTTATCAAAAGAAGAAATGCATTCCTCATCCACCTCACATTAGGGGGTGGAAAAAAAACTGGAACCATCTGTGAATATCAGTACTCAGTTTAAGTCTAATACCTTGTAAGCGAAGTGGGCTCCAATTCTTTTATTTTTATTTATTTATTTATTTATTTATTTATTTATTTATTTATTATTTATTTATTGCGTAGTAGAACTGGGCACAGACCAAAAGTGCAGAGGGCTGGGGAGAAGAGGCAAGGAGGATTCACCAGGACAGAATGAGGAGCAGAACAGGCAGATTTACTGAAACACACTGAGCCACGGGCAAGACAGGAGACATCTGCTGCACCATGAGAGTCAGCTCCCTGGTTGAGAATCAAACTCAGGCCATGATCAGTGGTGATAGCACTGAGACTTGACCCCTTAGACCACCAGGGAGTCTTTAATTCTTTTGGTCAAAACACTGGAAGATGTCTTAATCAATTGTCAAATTGAAAAAAAAAATTAATAGAAGACTAGTTTGTGATCTTTCTGTTCTAAATAGAAGACTAGTTTGTGATCTTTCTGTTCTAAAACTGTGGCTATCAAATAATGATTGACATAACATATCTTCTAACTACTTATTCTTCTTATTCTCACCTACTTATTTAGGTAAAGTGAGTAAAGTTTCTTAACATTTACATCTATGAAAGTGGAAGGTAGGAATGGAGCCAATAATCAACTCTGTCTCTTTATAGCAATCAATAATATTTATCCATGAGTGCAGGGGATAATCAACTCAAAAAGAAATCCTATTCATTTCATTGTGAGATAGCTGGTCTTTTAAATTGTTGATTGTGTCTTCACTGCCTGGCTGGAATATAAATAATTTTTGTGGGATCAATGACTGTTTCATTAACTGTATTATCTTAATATTATTACTGTTCATTATAAGCACGACACTATACTACACATAGATATAACATTTGCTTAATGCATCACTGTTACGAACAAAGATAATGTCATTGCTCACGCAAAAGGAAAAGGTACAGAGTGTCTGTTATGAAAAGAAGGAAAGCATTCACCACAGAATAAAGATACATTTGAATCCATGTTCAAGAAGAAAACACAGATAATTTATTTCCAGACTTGTGATTAAAATCTTAATGATAAAAAATATATTTCTGTGTGTTGCTCACATGCCTAGAGTAGTTGTGAAGGGGCAGAGCCTCTTCCTAAGGCAAAGGCGAAGTTACAAGGAAGCCAAGGAGATAGCATCATGCTTAACTCTGAACTGTCCTTCTGTCATTCTCACCCACGTGACCTGGACAAAGCCAGTCACGTAGCCACTCATAACGCGAGGGATGGTCCACGATCAGGCCATGGTAAGTGTGTAAATGTGGAGGGAGGTGAAGAGTTGAAGGCAAAATTTACCCCTTCAGGAAGAATAAGTTATTGAAGAAAGCAAGCCAGATATGTTTCTTTTCTTCTCATATTCAAGTTCACTAGGCCCAATTTTTTAGCTTATTTTAGGTCCATAACATCTTTCAAGAAGGTATTTTGGTAGGGCAAGAAGCGAGAGGTGGCTTGATTTAGCCATACAGTCAGCCTCCAGGGAGCAATCCACGGTCAGTTTCTCAACTTAACTGCCACTAATATTGAGCTATAATGTTTATTTTCTTTATAGATTTAAAGCCTATTAAAAGTGTTCTGTTTATATAAAAATGTTGTTTTTAACCACCCCTTTGGCAACAGGACACTCTTTCCATTTTTCTTGTATTAGCAAAGGTTTTATGGAAAGCCATCCACACCCTTTGACAAATTGTTCTTGAAACCAATATCTACATTTGTAACCTAGCTCATTGGGATTAGGGATGCCATCTAGAGCAGTGGAAGAATTTATGTTTGTCTGTTAAATTAAAGTTTCAATAGAAGAGTCAAACCTCTGCTTTGACTTCCCTAGCTTGTGGCCATGTATTCCAGAGACTATCTAGACAATGTCCTTCCATTTAACAAAGATTTACACCACAAAGAACAAACTGCTTCCTGTTCACGTATTACTTCCCTGCCTACAAATCAACCTTAACTTTTTTTCAAGCTAAGCAAGACTCCTATGTCTGAATTAAAGCTCGCAAAATAAAAATACTTTGATAAGAGGATGATAAGAGGATGTAGACCTTTTGAAAACACCTTGTAGGGTGCTGAGTTTTTTGTGTCCCTCTTGGAAAGTATAAAAGGAATAACATAACCCTAAAGAGAATAAGGTTCTTGACAAACAATGAGACAATGGAGAAAAAAACCTGAAGTTTAAAAGAAAATGGGGAGGGAAAGGACCCCCATGTTGACTCATATATTAAAATTCCATGCACACGGTATACTGTCCCCTGGAGATGCCACTCTGAAATCATTTATATGGTTGGCATGACAGGACTGGCACTCACTTCACTGGGGGAGGTTAGCTAAGAGTTACAGCAGAGAAGTTAAGATCCTCGAGCCAGAGGGTCCCTTGCTCCCTACTCAATGCATTTCTTTCATTGTACTCTCGCTCTCTGCAGTGCAATAGTTACTTACAGGCATTTATAATGCTTTCTGTGAGAGGCGTTGAGCCCAGGTGAACAGTTTTGTGCTTCTGTTCCTGAGTATATCCCCCCACACGCTGGGTGACAGGGACATGAAGCCACGGTCTCTTTCCCCGTGGAGAGCTGTCTTGCTCTATTAACTTCTGGCATCTTCATACCTAATGTTATTCTGTTTATTCTCAGCATCAACATTTTAGGGATGGATCCCTTAAATACACCGTTTGATAATGAATATTTCCATGGACAGTGTGATCGAGTTTGGGATGGAAATACCTTGACCTACTACCGCAGACCCTGGAACGTGGCTTCTCTAGTCTACGAAGTAAGTCTCCATAGGAAAAAAATACACTATTAACAATACTCTTACATGAAAAGCTGTTTTGATGAGTTTGGTGATGTGAAAAATTCAGCAAAATAAGAATTTGATGTAAATATAAGATTCATTTAGACAAGAGATAGAGCATAGATCTCTTTAGAAAATAAACAGTGGCCTACACAGTATCCTTATAATGTGAGAGAATTTTAGCAAATATCTAGACCTTGTAACTAAAAAATGCTATAAAAATAAAAACAAAGATTCTGATAAAACTAAAATTTAAAGTTGTGATTTAAATAGTGAGTATAGGCTTCATATTACTTAAACTCATCTTTTGCTAATCCACCAATAAAAATCCACTTTGACATGTGTTATTCTCCAGTCATTTTTACATTTGTTGTCCTGCTTAACTAATGTGAATGGATATTTTCACATACATCAAGTCTACTAGGAGTTATAAAATTATTTCTTAGTAATTTTTATTTTACACAATGCCTCACCAAACTACCACCTAAATTCTCTAAAACCATCTACCTATTCAAGCCCTAACTGGAAGTATTAACACTGACCACTGTAGTCTTGTCTTCCTTGGTCCAAGAAAACTGTAATAAAGAATAATAGACTTTATAAGCCAGGAAGTGAAATGACATGTTTCATTGAAAGATTCCATTGTTGACTTATAATGTCTACCTTTTTCAGTTACTACAAAATTTATTATTACTGTCATTCCCACCAGTTTGAGAAATATGTGAAATAAGCAAAGACAACGCTGCTTTTGCATCTAACAATATTATAAATCCATCCCTACCTATTCCAGTCATCATGCACTCCCATGAATGTTTAATATTTTAATGTCAGCACTGTTTGGCATTTTTTCCACATGCAATACATTGTCATATCTTTTGTATTGATATATCTAGAATAGATACATTCTATTTCCCAAAAATTTCAAAGAACATTTGGATCAGTGGTCTTTCTCCCCTGTGCCAGATTTATCTTCTTTAAGCACATGTTTTTAAGGGGAAGATGATAACATTTCTAAAAAACATTACACATGTTCTAATTCTTTAATTAGAATATACCAAAACAAGGAAACCTTTGTCATTGGTGGTGAAGAAATTTTGCTGTGCTGTTTGACTCAGTTTTTGTTTCTCAGGGAATACAGTTTCCGAGTGTTGGGAAGTAGTAACTGATATGAGGAACTTCATTTATAGTACAGAAGTAATAACTGGTATGACGCGAGATGGTGAGGCTGGGAAGATGTCCTATGACTGACCTTGAAGCTACGAGTCCGGGAGGGATATACTGTTGCCCCTAACCCACAACCCCAGAAAAAGATGTGCTTCTGAATTGAGAACATTCTAGATTTCACCAAGGTGGTGTGGTGCTTACCCTGAATATTATTTACTCCCCAGTGGAGTTAGGATCAGTTTTTCATAATCAAACACAATGATATTTCTACAGCAAAATTAACTGATGTTCACACAAAATGGTAGAAATGACAACTACAAATAACATTTTACAGTTTGGATCAGATTAAGCCCCTAAATTAATTTTGGCATAAAGCTTTTGGGGAAGATCAGGATTATGGAATGGAATCGTTACTTGCTGTCAATAGAGAAGAGGGCTGACTGAATCAGGGTTTACAGAAATCTCCAAATCAGCCTCTTTGTGCTTCTACTGCTGCTAGCAGTGATCCTCATATTCTAATCTGCTGTATTTAGGGAAAGTATATAGCCTAGCTTGTTAGTATCATACAAAAAAGAACATGAACTCACTTAAATAGAAATCTCCATTTTATCTTTTTAGAAAAGATTTCATTCTTTACTATCTAATAGTCCTGTCTAGTATTCCATGGGATCTTTTACTTACTTTCATTCAAGTCTGCTACTATAGTGTAGTATATTATTACTGTGTCTGAAAGTAAAGAATGAATGTTATAACCTTCTAGCCTATTCACACATCCATCTCTGCAACTTGCCCCAAGTACTTCACTAGTCACTCTCCTAGATCCTAAGTCAACCACTGTCTCATCTTCTATCCTAACTTCCATATATAAATATCTTCAATACTCTTACTTTAAAACTTGGTAAATACTCCTTGTAGCCTGCAGCTACCAGTGTCATTGGCAGGGAAATCATTCCTGACGTGGCTTTTGGAAATCATTCCCCCCTCAGCTTTCTCCTCTCAGCTCTCCATTCTGGTTCATGCCTCTCTTGAACATCAATGCAATCATCTCTGCTTTCCTTTGTGTTCTGGTATTTACTTTGCTGTTTCCATATGTACCTTTAGTGGAGTTTCTAGTCATTTTATTTACCATGGAATTCTGAGAAACTGACATCACATACTACATTAAAAGGGCTTACTGAACTCACAAATAAATGTATAAAGCATATTAACATTCTTTAATTTTTTAAACTAATGCTTCTGATGGAAGTTACAAAATTTTAAGCAAGTAAACTTACTGGAATTGCCATTAAAGTGGACAGCAAAACTGAAAAAAGGTGCTTAATAAATACTCCCTCTGTTCTTTCAACTGGGTTACCCCATTTTAAGACCATGTGGTATATACAGATCAAGCTTATTATATATGCTTTTTGTTGTTGTTATAAGCTGGTGTTCCCAATAGACAAAAATGAGAACTATGCCCATAGCAATTGATATATTGAAAATTAACAATTAACTCATGTAGATTCAAGTTAGTAGTCATAGGCAGAGGATTAATTATGAGGATGTGCCTATAGCATATAAAATAACCTGGGCACAATCCTGAACGTGATAAGGAACAACTGAAGATAGGAACATAGTGTTTCATTTTAAATCTTTTATGTTTTGTGGAGATGAATTTCAAAGGCACAAGACCAGAAATAGTAACAGAAGGAGGCTATTTCATCATCCAAGAATGAGTCATATACAATTAAACTGGCTCTCAGAGAGTCGGAAGAGAGGAAATGAAATCCAGCGTAATTAAGAACTAAGAGTTTATAATGAATTGTAGAGAGTATAGCTTCTGGTCATTTGTTAACCTGAATTAAGATTCTCTGGGGGTAGATTCTGATAAGTTCCTCCACTTATTAACTTACTTAAGCAACTTGTTTATCTTTCCTGAATCTTTCCTGACTAATAAGTTTCTTATTACAAAGTAGGGTAATAATACTACAAAATTCATAGGATTTTGGAAAGGTTGAACATTGTGTTAATGAGTACAAAGTGCTTACATTCCCAGTGCCAGAATAATGATTTATTTCTTTTCATGGAATATTTGATAAAGCCCTGCACCAAAGGAAAACCCGTCTGAATGACAGACCTTCAGCAAGGTCTGAGAAGTAAAGGGCACGGAGATGTGACAAGAGAAAGGTCCATTCCAAGAAGAAAAAAGTAATTTGAATTTTATAATGTTGACTCTGGGTATCTGTGTGACACAGGACTGAGAGCAGATTACATGAATGTGAGGATGGAAAGAACAGAGATTCATGTGTCACCAGCAGATAGTTAATTATTGAAATCACATGCATGCTTGTACACACAGTAAGTGTGCAATGAAAGAAAAAAGAGAATGCACTCCCAGAGCATGTCAGCATTTAGTATCTAGACAGAGAAAATAATTATTAAAAGAGAAAACACCTTATTGTCTAATGCTAGATTTCAAATATCCCCAAAATAGTGGCTAAACTGTTAAGAATATGGCTGTGGTTTTAGTAATGCTTTAGATGAGGATGTGTCATGAGCTCTCATCACCCTGCTTTTTGTAGGTTTATTCTCTCAATTAACAAGAGATGACTAGTAAGTAATAATAGGTGGTCTCACTATGCCTTGTACAAACAAAATCTTAAGTACATATTCAGTGTTTTCTGTTTACCTTATATTTCTAATTGCTGTCTCAGTTCCTCTCAGTTTAAATACAAAGTGTGTCTTGATTATGTCCTATCTCTGCCACTCCCAGTGCCAGAATAATGATTTATTTCTTTTCAAGAAGCACCAACTGGATTTAAAAAAAAAAAAAAAAGAGCTTTAGCTGACCCCTTTAATATTATTCTAGGCATCTTGAAACCTGCAAACACTCTGCACCTCACTTAGATTTCAGCTTCTCCACATGTTTATTCAATTTGTATAAAGAAAATTGCTCATGTCCTAGCAGTTTCCTGCTTTCTGTAATCTTACATTTTGTCATCTTTTCAAACTGTTTTGCTATTTTCTTCATGATGATTCCAACTATTGGTCCATTCTGTAGTGCCTGTCATTGACCTAACACTGATTTGGATGGATGGATACATTCTAACCCATGTGTTGTTTGGAGTGACCCCTCCCTCTTTCTTTCGGTTTCTGCTCACTGCTACCATCCTGGAGAATTGCTACCCAGACCAACATTACACCTGCAAGTACTCCTCCACAGTGAAATAGAGCTATCTCATGCCAGTTCTTTTCTAGCCATGTCAGATGTAATATAAGCACCTACATATTACACCAATCTGATTGTGCAATCTATTAGAAGACAGTAAGTTAAAAAAATCTTGGCCTACCAAGAAAGTTAGGGAGAGTTGTCTTCCTGGTGCCGTTTTATTTAGCTTTGGTGCTTTTTATTCTTGACAATACAGAGGTTATTGTCTTCAGTTGTTTCCACAACTGAAGCCTTAAAGTCAAAGTCATACAAATTGTATTCATTTTCTAAGTCCAAGGTCAAGGCAACTTTTTCGCAAGTATAAACTTGTCAACTTTTCTTTGGCAGTGGAGCATAAGAATTATGAACTCAGGGACCTCCCCAGTGGCCTAAGGGTTAAGTCTAAACACTGTCACAATGGCCTACCAAGATGATCTGAGTTGAAGCCAGCCAGGGAGGTGACCCACATGGCACTGCAGACCTTCCTGTCTTGCCCACTGCTCCCCTCAGCAGTGTATTTCAGTTGATCTGCCTATTCTGCTCCCGGCTCTGTCTCTGGTGGATTCTCTTGCCCCCTGTACCTCTGGCCTATACCCCATCTCATATATTCATAAACAAAATCTTAAAAGAATTTTCAACTGAAAAATAATATATATATATATATATATATATATCAAAAGCCCTTCTCATTTTAATTGCTTTTTTTTTTTTTTTAGAAACCTTCAAATGGTAAGCTCTACATAGGTGAGGATAATGTCTGTCTTGCTCACATGAATCCTCAAATTAGACTTCCTGGTTCTCAGTTCTAGTTATGTGATGTTAGAAACATTTTTTTAGCCTTTATTTTCTTATCTGTAAAATGTGGTCATTATAGAAATCACACTAATGGTAGAAAGTTAAATGTATTGACAGATATTTTGTATTACTGGATGTGTATATTAAATTTAATAATTTTTATTAACATCTTTACATGCCAGAAATCTTACCTGGTGATGCAACATTGGTGGCATGTGAGCAAGACAGACATTATCCTCATCTACTTAGAGCTTACCATTTGAAGGTTTCTAAAAAAGCAATTAAAATGGGGAGGGCTTTGAGATATGTATATATATGTGTGTTTTGTTTTTTTTTTTAAACAAGAAGAGCCATGTAAGCTTTTGGAAAAAAGAACTTGCTGGCCTGTGGGATCATAAGCTGTCTCCCTAAATAGAAGTAATTTTTAAGACTTGAATAGGTAGAAATTAATGGACCAAAGTATATAGCATGCACTTGTTATGTGTATGTCTGATGTTTATGAGGGGAGAATAAGGACTGGGAAAGATGTTAGGGAACATTCCAGAAAATAAAAGCAGCATAAAGGAACTTAATAGGAAAGAAACTGGCTATGGGGGTAGGAAGGAGGTTCAATGACTAAATGACTAGTGAGTGAGCAATGGAGGAGAGATTAACTTGAAGGAAGTCTACTTTATCTTAAAGGCAATAGGATGATTTTGAATGCCTTTAGGTAAGGGGAATGATATGGTTGTGTTACTCTACCTTGTTCCAGTGAGCAGTTTGCCCAGCTTATCTTACTTTTTAATGAAAAGTACATATATCTTAGCCTTTCCCATTATATGGCAACCTCAGGTTTTGTCTTTTCATCTCTTTGGGCTACTGTAGCAAAATCCTAAAGTCTAGGTAGCTTAGATGCAGCAGACATTTACTTCTCACAGTTCTGGAGACTGGAAGTCCAAGATCAGAAAGCAGGAGTGTCAGGTGAGTTTCCTTTTCTGTGTTGTAGATGTCTCATTAAATTTTCACATAGTGGAAGAAGCTAGGGAGTGCTGGGGGTCATGAATCTCACTCATGAAGCTCCTCCTGAAGGCCTCTCCTCCTAATATTATCACATGGAGCACTGGGACTTCAACAGGGGATCCAATATTCATACCACAGCATTTCCTGTGTGGAACAGTCACCGAATATATAATAGTGGATCGCTGAATCCTGAATGAAGAGATAGGCATCTCTTTCCCCTACAAGGGGTATACCTGTTTCAGAGGACTTCAAGAAAGGGAGCTGATCCCTTGAGATTACCAGCCCTTCCACCAATGCTTAACAATAGACAAGTTAGCAAACAGTGAAAAGTTCTAATGAAAACTTTTAACAGAAACTTTAATATTTAACAAGGTGGTTGGATTCTATTTTTCACACCAAAATGAAGGTGGTAGCGAAAAAGCAAAAGTTCAAAAACAACAAGGTTATGCAAGGAAACATAAGCCTGTTTCCACATTAGATTCCCATTTCACAATCCCTCTTCTCAAGGGCAGATACTCTCTGTGGTATTTTGCACTTTTTTTCCAGAAACTTTCTATGCATATGAAAGCATTTCTATAGGAGGGACAGGCAGTAGAATGTGAAAGTTAAGAGAATGATGTTTCAAGCCCTGACTTGACTATGTCAATTAATTCACATGTATTCAGTCCTCAGAATGGCTTCTGGCTCATAAGCCTTGAGAAAGCTTTATCATCTCTTTTTTTGTTCTCTTTTTTTCTAAAACACGAATTAGAGTGTATTGTGCATGTTATGCAACTGGCTTTTTAATTATTAATATAACAGTTTTTGAAAGCTGACTATTTCCAAAGCCCCTTCATTTGCATTATTTCATCAACTTCTTAACAAGTATCCTTGTTTTACAGGGAGGGGGGAGGGGGAGAGGAATCAGGAGGTTATTGTGTCATGTCCGGTCACAGAAATGTATTTAGAGCCCAGCACATTCCTTCAGTGCTTTCACTCTCACCTCCTTTGCTCCCCTACCTTCCAAATGTCCATTTATTTTCTTTGATTCCATTGTCTACAGTGTTTTGAGTGGTTTCTTTTTCTTTTTGGTATATAGCTTTAAATACTTTGTTGTCCTCTTTTAGACCCGAGCTGACAAAAATTTCAGAACTGAGTATTATGAAGAACAGGCTGAATCATTTAAGATGGTGCTCCGAGAGAAAGCAACAAGTTTTAATGCAGATTTATCTCTAAAATTCACCCCCACTGAAGCAATTAAAATTCAACCTCAAGAATCTTTTGCGATAGAAGCTAACTTAAAACCTCTAAAGTTCCAGAGTGACTTTGGATTTAAATATAACCAAAAGGACACTGTCCAAAAGTTGTTTCTATATTCTACTAAGAAGGTAAGATCATACAAATATAATGGGAGCTTTTCAAACTAACCAAATGTCCTTTATCAGCGTTTAACTGTTTAGAGCAGATAGAGATCATAGGGAGAGAAGAATATAGCAAAAGTAACAAATCCTCAAACATGTAGCCAGGCCAGCAGGAAGCAGATGCTAACTAGAGAAAACTCCCATGGGCACTTTGCCAGCAGGAGGTGGTCAGATGTTTGGTGGTGATGAGCAGAAAACAAGGGTGGTAAGAATTTTGAGAACTCTTTGATGGAAAAGGAGATAGTGTACCGTTCAGTGTATACCATCTTCAGGATCACTTAGAAAAGTACTACTGAGGAATTTTGAGAATTCATTTCAGTACCTTAGAATGATGACTGTTTATTTTCTACCAAGAATATCTAAAGTAATGATGCTCTGAGAATGTGCACAGTGCATATGATTTTGGGCTGCATGCCTTGCAATGACACTTATTTTGAGATGTTGGAAATGTGAAAATATGTGGGGTTATGATGATGAGTTATGATATTAACTCATATTTGAGTTTGTTTCACCACTCTTGGAATAAATATAAAATATACTTTCCCTAATCAGTATGAAATGGGTAAAATATACATTCTCCCTTTATAATAGGTGACCATACTGACCTATTCAAGTATCCTACTGCTGCTTCAAAAATAGTTTAATTTACCTTTAATAATGTGTTAAGCCTACTTGTAGAATTGTTTTATAGATCTGCACATTTTTTATACAGCCAAAGAGTTCAGCAAAAATTTAATTATGAACTTACTGTATGGTGAGGCACTGTACTAGGAGCTTAGTATATATTTGTTAAACAAACAAATAGGTTCCTGTTCATGGAGTTGACATTTCAACAGAAGGTGATAGGACTAAAACAATAAATGTAACAACACCTAAAGGAAAGATTCTATACCTCTAAAACACAAACAGCATTGTCAACCAATGTTAACTCCATAAAAAAGAAATAAGTGAGTAAGTAAAAATAAAATCAATTACTTAAAAGAACAATAGCAAAAAAGGGAAGCTGTATAGTTTTTAGAAAGTGTTAAGTGCTACAGAATGAATTATTCAGTAGAGTAACAGGGAAATTGGAAGTGCTGACAAATAGTATTAAAAAGGACCTTCAGGGCTCTCCCTGGCAACGCATTGGGTTAAAGGGCCACATTATGAAGCTCTCTGAAGCCACTGCAGTATGAGTTTGTTCCCTGGCCAAGGAGCTGACTCACATGGCACAGCAGACCTCTCCTGATCTACCCACTGCAGCCCTCAGCAGTGTATTTCAGTAAATCTGCCTGTTCTCTTCCCCACTTTGTCTCTGATGAATCCTCTCACCCACCACACCTCTGTCCTGTACCCCAGTTCTGTAAGCATAAATAATTAAATCTTTAAAAAAAAATAAAAAAAAAAGGACCTTCAGTTTCCATTGGGGCACAAGAACTGAGCAAAAATTTGAAGGAGACTGTAAGAGACAAGTCTTCAAGAGAGAACATTGGGCCAAATTGTACTGTAAAGAGAAATGGTTAGAGAGGTTACCTTGAAACAGGTCATAAAGGACCTCAAATGCTATTTTAAGAATGATGCTTTATTTCTGATGACATGATAAGTCACTTAGTGTTCTGAACAGAGAATAGCACACCTAATCTATTTTATTTAAAAGATTTATTTATTTATGCGTATAGAATTGGGATACAGGCCAGAGGTGTAGGAGGTAAGGAGACAGAGTGGGGAGCAGAACAGACAGATATACTGAAATACACTGCTGAGGGGAGCAGTAGGCGGGTCAGGAAAGGTCTGCTGCACCATGTGGGTCACCTCCCTGGCTGGGGATGGAATTCATGTTGCAGTGGCTGCAGTAGCTTCGTAGTGCTGTGCTTTAACCCATTGCACCACCAGAGAGAACCCCCTAATCTATTTTAAATAATTACTATGGGTACTCTATTGAAAAGAGGTTATGGATATAAGAGCAAATGTAAGAGACAGCTTAAAAGCTAAGCAGGAATCCACGGGAAAGCGATGATAATTCATACAAGACAATTGTTGGTGACCTTGATGAGAGAGGCTTTATTGGAGTAGTGGGTGCAGAGCATGACTGATGGGATTTAAAAGAATTCGGGGCGGCCCTCCCTGGTGGCGCAGCGGGTTAAAGCACAGCACTGAGAAGCTAAAGCCACTTCTGCATGGGTTCGATTCCCGCCTGACCTGGAGGTGACCACATGGCGTGGCAGACCTCTCCTGACCCGCCCACTGCTCCCCTCAGCAGGGTACTTTGTCGATCTGCCTGTTCTGCTCCCCTCTCTGTCTCTGGTGAAACCTCTCGCCACCCCTGAGCCTCTGGCCTGTACCCCAGTTCTGTATGAACAAATAAATAAATCTTTAAAAAAAAAAAAAAAGAATTTGGGGCAAGGGTGACTGGAAACAGCAAGTATGGAAAATTCATTCAAGAGCTCGAAACAGGGAAGGAGAGAGCATAAGGGACTACGGTGCATGGGTGACTTGGTGGTGGCAATTCTGTGAGGACTACACCTGAAAGGAAAAAGCAAGCATTGTACAAAAATGAACAAAGATGTAAAATATATATAAACAAATAAATTTGAAAGATTAAAAAATAACTCTAGGGCCCTCCTGGTGGCACAGCAAGTTAGGACACAGCACTGCAAGCTAGGCACAGCTGCTGCAGTGCATGTTCAATCCCCAGCCCCAGAGGTGATCTGCGGGGCACAGCAGACCTCTCCTGACCCACCTGCTGCTCCCCTCAGCAGTGTACTTTTAGGATCTGCCTGTTCTTCTCCTCACTCTACCTCTGGTGAAGCCTCTCACCACCCCTGCACCTCTGACCTGTACCCTAGTTCTGTATGCACAAATAAATAAATCTTAAGAGAAAAAAGAACTCTAAAGAAATGTTGCTTCTAATGAAGGCAAAAAAAAATAGTTATACAAATGAGGCAAATTTCTTTTACTTCTTTAAGATAGAAGAAATATTTGGATGAAATATACTTGGATGAAAATAAGTTGAGTCACATGAGACTCCATTGAGACTAATTATACAAATCAACAGATGGAGAAATCATAAGATTTATTATCTAAGGAGTAAGTTCTGTACAGTTTTTGTTAGAGACCAAATCACCTAGCAAAAATTATCACCAGTAGTGAAACCATACAGTGTAAACAAATGTACTTCCAGCACTTGGAAAGTGTGATGTTATGGTTCTATACACCCAAGTGTCCCTTAAGTAAAAAAATAATAGTTTAAATCCTTCATGTAGTCGGCATGTGTTAACCACAGTTACCATAGGGAAACTTCAAAAGAACAATCTACAAGATCAGTGTCCTCTGTAGTCTACTTCCAGCTGGGACAGGCCATACCATTGAGACACATAGCTATAAGGAACTGCCCAGTTTTCCCATGGAAATGTAAGCCATCATCCCAGAGAATATTTTACTGTTGAGCTGCTCACCTGGGCTTGAGAACCACGTCTTAAAATATAGTCTGTCTGTTATTGAAGATTGAGAGGTGAAATGGAAAGAACAGTGATATCTGAGATCTAGGCTTTTAGTTCTAATGCTGCCCCAGACAACATGATCTTAGTGAAAATAACTTGATGCTTTTAGATCAGTTATCTCATCTGTAATTTAAGATTAGATCTTTAAATAAATGGAGGTATAATTTATATATAATAAAGTTTATAGATTTCGACGGCAAGTACTGGTCACTGCATGGCCTCATCAGTGATTGGTACTGATAATATTTTAAGTTTGGCCATTCTAATGGGTTAAATGGCCACTTCTAAAATATGTATTTCCTGTGGGAATTCTAAATGACTTTTTAATTTGATATAACAAGGATTAAACTCACATTTCTTTTCTTCTGCTTTCCAACAAAGGATAAAGTATTTCTGCATGTAAGTGGAGAGGTTCAGCTGGGAAGATTTACAATGAGAAATCGGGATAACATGATGACGACACAGTTCGTAGATGCTATTAAAGCCCTGCCAACTGCCTATGAAAAGGGGGAATATTTTGCATTTTTGGAAATCTATGGAACCCACTTCAGCAGCTCCGGGTCTGTAGGAGGACGATACGAACTAATATATGTTTTGGATAAAATTTTCATGCATGAAAAAGGTACACCAAAAATAGAGTTCTAATTTCTAGTACTGTTTTAATGAACGTTATTCCTATTACTAATCTCGTGTAATTTTTAAAGATTTCAAATAGAATATTAAAATTGTCTCCTTTGAGAGACTCTCTTCTTGACCTTGGAAGCTAAGACCCTATCAGACAGCAATTTTGCCTCACACAAGATGATTTGATTTTGAAATAGTCAGCACCATATTGAGTTATGCACAAAATGGCATAGCAATTCAGTATTATTTGGTGATGCTCTTTTTAGTGAAATACTATTTTAAAAGTGAGAGAAGGCACAAAAGACATAATTTACATAGCTTTTTTCTTAATCAGTAGATCAGTCTCATTATATGCATAAGAATTATCTTTCAAGGAGTTTGCATTGTGGGAATGTATATTATTCTGAATTTTCTCTCAGAGAAGAGGGAGGAAGCAATGTTAACTAATATCCGGTAATCTAACATCTTAAAGCCAGGGTAGAAAATTAGTTTAACCTACTGTTATGGCAGGTCTAATCCCAGTTCTAACCCAAACCCAATGGCTTGGACTGGCTCCATCTTGAGTAGGTTTGTGGACATCTTGAGATCATTGCAAAGAAGGTCATGGTTGATCATCGCTGTCTTCTAGGTGCGCAGGATTGGGCTAGGTGTTACGTAATTATCTTCCTAGTCTATAGGCTTCATCTAAATCTTTCAAAAGAGTAGATACTAGGGCCCTCTCTGGTGGTGCAGCAGGTTAAAGCACAGCACTGAGAAGCTAAAGCCACTTCCGCATTAGTTCAATTCCCGCCTGCCCTGGAGGAGACCACATGGCATGGCAGACCTCTCCTGACCAGCCCGCTGCTCCCCTCAGCAGTGTACTTCATAGATCTGCCTGTTCTGCTCCCCGCTCTGGCTTTGGTGAATCCTCTTACCCTCTGCATCTCTGGCCTGTACCCCAGTTCTGATTGAATAAATAAATAAATCTTTAAAAAAAAAAAAAAGAGTAGACACTAAGTAAGCATAGGGAGTTTTAATTGTTATTTTGTGAGAAATTATAACTTGTTAAAATATTCTTTAAGGAGGTGGAAGGTGCCAGCAGAGCTCTCCTCTCTGGCCTGGCAATTTTAGCTGTGCCTCTTAGAGAAGTGTTGCCAAAATCACTTTCTATAGTCAAATCGAGTGAACTTTGCTCTTCAAATACATCATTCTCCCAGCTGGTAGCAAATACTTTGCAAGTGAAACAAACATAACGTGGCCAGAATCCCTTGCTTTTGATGCCTCAGTCTTGTCTTGGGCAAGGAACAGTGCCATGGAAAGTGGAATATGAAGTTGCTTGGTTTACTTTGCTCATAAGACTATATCCTATGAGAGTGAGATCTTTTGAGCCCAGCTAATTTATGAGTCCTGTTTCGGCAGATAGTACCTGGGGAAGCTGCACAAGAGAACCTGGAAAACTGAAGAAAAATGCTCCACAAGGATGATCAAAGCACAACTAATCCTTTAGAACTAGAGTTATTTTGGTGAAAAAGTTCCATGGGCTAGTATTTTTAATCCTGGGCAATTTACACATCACCTTCTCACTAGAATCTTTCAGTTCACCCTAGTATTTTGAAGAAGTCATCTATCTCACTTCTCCAAAGAAAGTACCTGAGGACCAAGCTTGTCCTCCTTTGGGGTACCCAGCATCTGTATGGTCATAGAAAGGCCCACTGCTGAGACAGAGAACCTAAACTCTTTGGGGTCATTTAGGTGTTTTCATCCTTATCCTCAGAATCAGTGTCTTCATGCTTTCTAGGGGCGTAATGGTGGAAATTCAGGTATCTGGATTTAGTTTTTTTTTCCCTAAAGATTTATTTATTTATGCATACAAGAAATGGGGTACAGGCCAAATGGGGGTGAGAAGATTTACCAGTGACCTAGTGGGAGAAGAACAGGCAGATTGACTGAATTATACTACTGAAGGAAGCAGTGGGCGAGACAGGAGAGTCTGCCACACCATGTATTTCACTTCCCTGGCTGGGGATAGAACTCATGCGGTAGTGGCTGAGGCTAGCTTCAGTGCTGTATTCTAACCCCTTGTAACACCAGAGAGGGCCCAGGTTTTGGATTTCTTGTCATCCAATTTTATCCTCCCTCTTCCCTTCCCATGGAAAATACCAATTGATATTTCTGAAGATCTCAGTAATTGTGTATGAGCAAAAATCTTTGTTGAATGA